CATTAGTATATACAGCTTGTCGTATATAGACTGAGAACTATAGGTATATCATTGAATGATTGTATGATTGAAAAATGATTAGCTTTTTAAAAAATATTTTTCTAACCCAACTCCTCACAGAGGTATTTAATAGCATGTAATATATATTATACCATTTGATTTTGCCCCTTGCTTCACAGAATCTCCAGTGCTTTCAGCTGAGATCTAGGAGTAATTCGGCCCTTCCTCTGGTGGGTCTTTATCTTCAGCAAGATGAAAGTTAGTGAATCTTATTCCACCTTCCACCATTTTTGACTTTGGATCGAACCTCCTGTTCTTTAGATCTTCAGAATTTGCAAGTGTCTGGAAGCCTGTTAAGTTGATGATTTTGTCATTCTTCCAGAGCCAAAAGCTCTGGGGTTTCATTATTATTATTATTAGTTTTAGTGTTAGTGTTATTTATTCCCAGGGAAAGTTCAAGAGGAAGTCATTCATTTAAGCAACTGTGGCAGTCATGTAGGTGATACTGTGTGATGCTTTGCCATGGGCAGTCACAGTGGAAATGGTTAGGACTGCTCAGCTTTGAGGTATGTGTTACTTTGAAGTTAGACACAACAGAATGATGCTTGCCCATTTCACCATAAATTGAGGTTTTGTAAACTTTTGGATTTTAGTCAAATGTGTTAGGTGAAAAAAATGTACTGGAGTGTAAGTTTAATTTTTATAGGTTTTCACTGTCTTCTGAATTAATTAAAGATTAAATTAGGGATCAGCAGTTAGCATAATAGCTATGTCACTGGACTCCCATGTAGTTGACCACGGTTCGAGTCCCAGACCCCGTGGCTTAAATTCACGCCAGGCACGTGTGTGTGCATGCCCAAGATCCCTACAAGAGAATGGAGGAGAAGGGACTGCAGTGTGGCCATCCCCCCGGGGGGTGATTTCTCGCTTTCTGTCTCTCTGTCTTTCTGGCAAGCGTATGCACCCTATAGCAAAAAACCTCTCCAAAAAAAAAAAAAGATTAATTAAATTAAAGATCTTGGCATTTTGGAGAAGTGTCATTATTTGCTCATTTTTCTTTTGGGATATTGATTATTTTAGATATTTTCTTATGAATATATAGTAATTCCTACTGGAAATGTAAGCTTTTTCATGCTATCACTCACTTTGTTACTTTTGAGTTTATTTTGTATTTTGTTTTTGTCCTGAAAGTTGTTTTGATATAGTTCTGTAGAATTTAGAAGTGTCTAGGACTTGGACTTTTCTTCATTGGGAGACTATTACTGAATCTCATTGCTTGTTATTGGTCTATTTAGGCTTTCCATTTCTTGCTGGTTTGAGCTAGCTGTTTTATAGGCCCAGAAATTTGTACATTTCCTCCAGGGTTTTTGTTGTTGTTGTTGTTGTTTAGGTTTTGCTGTAGGGTGTGTTCACACACTGGAGAGAGACAGAAAGAGAGTGGGAATGAAAAATCACTCCTTCCAGGAGGTGGTCACACCTCAGTTCCTTCTCCTTTATTCTCTTCTTTGGATTTTGAACATTCACACATATGCACCCAGCATGTTTCTCAAGTCACTGGGTTTGGGATTTAACTGTGTTAACCAGGTGAGATACAGCTGCCTTAACCACCATGCCACTTAGCTGACTCTAAGTTATTGGTCTATTCTCTGTTTGATTTCTACTCTAATTTTTAAAATCTTGTTTGTTGTATTACTTTTGGAGTTTTTTTCCTTGCTTTTTCAGTTTGCTGGGATAGGTCATTAGGTTATTTGTCATCTTTCTTAAGTATTTGAGCACTAATTGCTATAGACTTCCCTTTAAAGATTTTTTTTTTGAGAGGTTTTCACTATAGGGCACATGTGCTCGCCAGACAGAGAGAGACACAGAGACAGAAAGCGAGAAATCACCCCCCGGGGGGATGGTCACACCGCAATCCCTTCTCCTCCATTCTCCTCTCGGGATCTTAGGCACGCACGCACACGCGCCCGGCGTGAGTTCTAAGCCACCGGGTCCGGGACGTGAACTGCGGTCAACTATGTGGGAGTCCAGCAACATAGCCATTACGCTAACTGATGGTTCCCTAAAGATTATTTTTGATGCATCCCAAAGCATTTGGAGAGTTGTGTTTTCATTATCATTTATTTCAAGAAATTTTTAATTCTATTTTTAATTTCTTTTGTTTTGAAATTGTTCAAGAGTAAATTATATAGTTTTTACATATTTGTGAATTTTCTAAAGCTCTCTTCATTTCAAATCTAATTTCATTCTGGTCAGAAAAGTTGCTAGATATAATTTCTGTTCATTTAAAGGCTTTTTTTGTGCTCTGTAGTATGGTCAGTTTTCAAAAAAACTCCATGTCTGGCCAAGAAAAATGAGTATTTTGAAGTTTTTGGTGAAATGTTCTGTAAATATTGGCTAGGTATTATTTAGCTTCTGGGTTTTGTTTTGTTTTGTTTTGGGGAGGGTCTAAATGATGTCTCATGGTTAAAATAGGATGTTGAAATCCCCAAGAATTACTGCATCATAATTGAGCTCTTATTTATGTCTAGCAGACTTTGATTCCAATGTTGGGACCATGAATATTTATAATTGTTATATTTTCTTGGTGAATTAATCTTCTTAATACTATATAGTCTCTCTTTTTCTACACTTTAGTTTTTACTGTACAGTGTATGCACTTGCAAGAGAGTGACAGAGAGAGAAATCACCCTCTAGCAGTGATGGACACACCACAATTCCTTTTCCTCATTCTCGTCTCAGGAGTTTGGGTAGGCACACAAATATCCTGGCATGATTTTTAAGCTTCCAGATTCAGGACTTCAGCTAAATACTTGGCCATGTGGAATCCAGCTGCCTTAAACTCCATGCCACCTGCTGGCTCCATATATTTTTTAATGTCTCTTTTTTCCATTTCAAATAGCTAATACCTCTCATACACTGCTTAGTTATGGTGGTAGAACCTCCTTATCCTTCAATAATTCTCTACTAACTGTGATGTGCTGCCTGTTACATCAAGATATGTACATATTATGTTAAATAACAATGCTTCATATCATCTTCTACTGGAGGCATTTAATATAATTCAGCAATATTTCTAAATATATCCTCTGTGGATGGATCGCAGGATTTTTTATTGTGATAGAACTGTGAATATTATAAAATATATCAGCATTGTGTCTTTTTTCTAATTTTTAGTATAAATGATTAAACTCTTAGGCCAGACAGTGGAATGATGGTTAAAGCAACTGGATCCCACATGGCATACTGCAAGGTTTGATTTCTGGACCCAGCATCTTGAGAACCACACCAGACACATGTGTTTGTATTTACAAATTTCTGAAAGAAGGAAGAAACAGACAAGGAGAAATATTGATGTGGTCATTCTCCAGTGGGGATGATTTTTCACTTTCCATCCACATCCTCCAAGGGAGCACATGTGCCCTATGGTAATTTTTTTAAATTTGTTCTCATTTTTCATGATCTGATTCTCTTTATCAGTAAATATTAGCGTTTTTTGAGAATATGTTCTTGTTTTCCAGTCATAGGTTCTCTTTGAGCCTAACAGTTGAACCCAGGTTCACATTCAGTGATCAAAATAGCTTCAACTACCACTTGAATTTCTGCTACTTCACAAATATCTGGCTACAGAAACTTTAAACAAAATATGCCCCAAATTCTTTTCCCTACTACTCATATTTTTTTTCCAATTTCAGTTTGTAGCTCTTAATCAGTCTACTTAATCAAAAAACATTGAGTAAATTTCTTTGTGTGTGCTTGGGGTTTTTGGGGTGTGTTTGTTTTTCTATAGGGCGTGTGCACTTGCCAGAGACAGAGAGAAAGGGAGAGAAGGAAAGTGAGAAATCAGCCCCCATGGGGATAGCCACACCACAATCTGTTTTTCTCCCTTCTCTCAGGATTTGGGGCATGCGTGCACATGTACCTGGCATGATTTTCAAGCAACAGGGACTGGAACCATATAGTTGGTCATATGGGATCCAGCGTCTCAGTCTCCATGCCACCTGCTGGCCCTAATCTCCTCTTTTCGTACAGTGTAAAGCAAATTAGTACCAAATTATTTTTCTGCTTTTTCTTTCATAAGATGAGTTTCTCATTCATTCTTCTTATGTCTCTATGTCCTGATATAGATGATCATGTCTCAACCTGGCTTCAGCCCTGTGACGGTTTCTTAAGATTATCCTCAGTCTACAACCTGTTGATGGCTATTAAACTGCAAATCTGGTCATGTAATGTGTCACTTCTTTGTGCCTCTTGTTAGTTATGCTGTGTGCTCCAGTGAGTGGGTGATAATCATCTTTATTTGGACACTTAACTTTTTGAATGCAGGACAGCAATATAAAGATGCCTGTAGACATGCTTTAACCTATAAGTAATTGACAGCAGTAAGTTCACGGAATGTTTTATTGGAATTAGGTTAAGTGTTTAAATATAAAATCACTTTGTAATCAGTTCTTTCAACACCTTTACTGCCTTTGTCTTTCATCACAGCCCAGGAACACTCACCTAGACATGGTACTATTTCTACTTCCATAAATATCAGGTGTGTACTTTCTGCTTTTATGGGAGAACTGATACAGCTTCATTTTCATAAGGACATTCACATCCAAGTTCTAAACATCTTTGTCTTGAAAAACAACCTGATCATACAAGAAAAAAAAATTGTTTGTATTTGTTACACTGCTTTTGTCTAAATTAGTTAATCTAACATATTAATCCATGAATATATTTATACTTATGTGTTTGTATCAGATCATAAGCACCTCAACATAGCAGAATTTGTTATGCCTTCATCCCTAGCAAAAAGGACTTTTACAGATCTCTAAGAGAAATGCTAGCGATATTCTTGGCAATGAATAAGTTACCACAGAGCTGGGATGCTTTTACTTTTATTTTTTTCTCCTCTCATATAGTGTACAAAAAAAATGAATACGTACAGAGGAAAGTACATTCCCCTATTATATTCTATTTCCCAGGAGTAATGAAAGGGAAACGTATTTTGACAGGGATATGTGTCATTTGAGGATGTGGCTGTGAACTTTACCTGGGCGGAGTGGCAGAACCTGGATGATGCTCAGAAGACCCTATACAAGGATGTGATGCTGGAGACCTACAGCAACCTGGTGTTCTTGGGTTAGTGGAACTCCCAAGTAGCTCCCTAAAGTCATGACTGCCTTTTTTTTCATAGTAAATCTACAAGAGTTTTATAATGTTTAATGCTGTTTAGGAGTGAGATTTTATTCTGTGGTTAGTGTGAGTGATACTTCTCTTTAACAAAATGCTCACACTGGCCCCTACATTGCACATCTGATATAGCCGAGCTGTTGTTACTCTTCAGGTAACTTACATAAACTGTTTAGCAAAATTCCACATTGCTTTCCATTAACAGGACACTGCGTTGCCAAACCTGTAGTGATCTTCAGTTTGGAGCAAGGAGGAGAACCATGGACATTAGAAGAACTTCCTAACCAGAGCCTCCCAGGTTTGTTAGTATATACTTGCCAGGGACTAATCTAATGTGAGCCTACATTTTATTGAGAGGGAAAATGAGTATTTATAGTGTTGAAGTATAGAAAATGTTTTACTGAGATAAGCATGTGAAAAACTGTTGTATTCATTTTTGGAAGAGTCCCAAGGGAAGGCATGTTTAAGGATATTAGTATTTATTTTTATTGGATACAAATCATTTATAGGGAACATCCTGCGTATATGATAAGAGTTCTTCTGAAACAGCACACAATACCCAAAATTACAAGGCAGAAGTAGAGAAAAGGGACAGGGAATACAAATGAAAGATGAAAACCTTTCAGTGTAAAATTATAGTATGACAGTAGGTAGATATTTTGACTGAACATTTTATCAGATAGTATAATAAAGGGAAACATAATTGGGCAAAAAAAAAGCTTAATTTTCAAAAAAGATTAATGTAAATTGTCACAGTAACTTATTAAGGAGTAAAAAAACATTTCTTATTGTAGATCAGTACCAATTTTTGAAATATAAAAAGAAATTTACATGAGCATTGTAGAATAAAATTTTAGATTTGATTTACAGATACAATTGTCTTTTTTCTCACCGAAGATTTTCTTATTGTAGATAATTTGATTGAACAAAGCCTGGAAAATAAAGGAAGATATTTGTGGCAAGTTGTAAGCAACAACAGCAATAGCTAAAGAGAGAGTTGAATTTTAAAAAGACATTTGAGTTCAGACCCTATTTCAAAACTGAATGCAAATAACAAAAATTACTCAGGAATGAGTCCTGAATTTAATTTACGTCAAAATATTCGTCTTAGCCTGATAAAGTGTATGCTAGAGAATCCTGATGCTTTAAATTTAACTAGGAAAGCCCTCACATGTCATAAACATCATATTCATTTTCATGTGGTATAATCTGGACAGCAGCATTGTGAATAGAGTAAACAAGGGAAAGTGTTCAAAGTGAAGGCAATGATGACCCATAAAAGGGTTGATGTGCTTGTAAATAGAATGACTATGAGAAAACATGTGGTAAGACACCTCTCGTTGCTCAGGACATAAATCAGGTGTAGAAGAAAACATGCTACAAAAAGCCTTACTGTACCATTCATTAGAACCTACACAGGAGAGGCATACTATAAATGTTGTGAACGTAAGAGAATTTTTTTTAGGTTTTTGCCATAGGGTGCATGCATTCACCAGAGAGAGACAGTGAAACAGAAAGTGATAAATCACCCTCCAGGAGAGATGGCTACACTGTAGTCCCTTTTTGTTCATTCACCTGGGATTTTGGGCACCCACATGCACCTAGTGTGATTTTCAAGCCATCGGGTCCAGGACTCAAAGTGCAATTGGCCATGTGGGAGTTCAGAACTGTAACCGCCATGCCACCTGCTTGCCCCTAAAAATATTTTTTTTACAGTATATCTGAGGACACATTGAGTGGAAGATTTCCATTCATGTAATGATTGAGAAATTTTTCTTGCGGAAGTCAAATCTAATTATTTGTTAGAGAATACACACAGAGGAAATGCCCTATGAATAGAATAGAAAGCCATTTCTTAGAGGTCAAAAATTACTTTGTATCAGAGAAAAAAAAAAAAACAGAAAAGCAAAACTTTGAGTGTTGACAAATTAGGAAAACTTGCTCCTAGAAGTCAACTGTTGTTATACATGAGAGAATGCTCACTAGAGAGAAACTCTCTGAATATAAACAGTGTGGGAATTTCTTGTCTCTGAACTCAACATTTTTCTGACCATCTGAAAACTTACACAGGAGAGAAACTCTACGAGTGTGACCAGTGTAGGAAAGCATTCTCCAAGAAGGCAGGCTTCACTGCACATCAGAGAACTCACACAAAAGAGAAACCCTACGAATGTGAATGGTGTGGGAAAACATTCTCCTGGAAGTCAGCCCTCACTGTACATCTGAGAACTCACACAGGAGAGAAACCCTATGAATGTCAACAATGTAGGAAAACCTTTTCCCGGAAATCAGCACTCACAAAACATTGGAGAACTCACACAGGAGAGAAACCCTATGAATGTGAGCAATGTAAGAAAAAGTTCTACCAGAAGTCCCACCTGACTATACATCAGTTAACTCACAAAGGAGAAAAGCCCTACGAATGTGAACAATGTAGGAAAACATTCTCCCAGAAGGCATACCTCACTGTACATCAGAGAACTCACCAAGCAGAGAAACCGTATGAATGTCCACTATGTAGGAAAACATTCTGCTGGAAATCAGCACTAACTGTACATCGGAGGACTCACACAGGAGAGAAACCCTATGAATGTCAACAATGTAGGAAAACATTCCACCGGAAGTCAGCACTCACGGGACATTGGAGAACTCACACAGGAGAGAAACCCTACGAATGTGAGCAATGTAAGAAAAAGTTCTACCGAAAGGCACAACTCACTGTACATCAGATAACTCACAAAGGAGAGAAACCCTATGAATGTGAATGGTGTGGGAAAACATTCTCCTGGAAGTCAGCATTCACTGTACATCTGAGAATTCACACAGGAGAGAAACCCTATGAATGTCAACAGTGTAGGAAAACATTCCACCAAAAGGCAGCACTCACTGTGCATTGGAGAACGCATACAGGAGAGAAACCCTATGAATGCCAAGAATGTAGGAAAACATTCTACCAAAAGTCAGCGCTCACTGGCCATTGGCGAACTCACACAGGAGAGAAACCCTATGAATGTGAGCAATGTAAGAAAAAGTTCTACCAGAAGTCCCACCTCACTGTTCATCAGATAACTCATAAAGAAGAGAAACCTTTTAAATGTAAACACTGTAGGAAAACGTTCTCCCAGAAGGCATACCTTACTGTACATCTGAGAATTCACACAGGAGAGAAACCCTATGAATGCCAACAGTGTAGGAAAGCGTTCTACCGGAAGTCAGCGCTCACTGTACATCAGAGAACTCAGGAAAGACACCATACGAATGTGAGCCATGTAAGAAGACATTTTCCCAGAGGTGTTCAACACTCACTGTACACTGGAGATCTCACACAGCAGAGAAGCACTATGAATGTGAACAACAGAAGAAAATTCTCCCAGAAGTCACACCTTAGTGTAAATTTGAGAACTCAAAAAAGAGAGAAACCTTATGAATGCCGACACTGTAGTAAAACGTTCTGCAAGAAGTCACAACTTACTGTGCATCAGAGAACTCACAGATCAGAAATTTTATCAATATAAAAAATAAAAGAATCTTTTTTACCAGTATTTAGAGCTCACTGTACATCAGGTAACTCACGTGGAAGAAATGCTTAGTATTGTTAACAGTGTTGTAAATCCTTGAACCATAATTCAGAACTATGAGTTAATCTCTGAAGGAAACAATATTGAACTTTTTTAAATTCAGCTGCTTTGATACAGCAAGCCATGGTAGTTAAAAATAACATATCATAAAATTGTGAGGATGGTTTCTATGTCTCTGAAAAGGGAATATTTCATCAAGCTGGTGAATAAGATCTAAAAGTTTACCAGCTACCAAAGGAAAAGTTATTTCTAAGATCTATGTGTGATGTTTTAAAGCTGTATCAAAAGATAATCACTGATTCAAAAAATAAAAATAAATATAGAAATAAAAACACTGAGTGAAATTTGTCTGGCTTTCAATTCTGGCTATGTTATGAAACAACAGGAAAACGTGGTTTCAGGCTTCATAAAGTTCTAAAGTTCTCCCATAACAGATATAGGGAACCACCTATATCTACTGAGAGGCCCTTCCAAGAGTGTCTCTGGTGAAATATCCAAGTTCACTTTGAGAATGGAACAGATCCAGCCTAGCCAGGAGGCATATGAAGGGAGTGTGTGTACTGGCGGGCAAGAACCATGGGCCCTTATAAAATTTCCAGGATACCCTTTGGCTTTTTGTCACAGCCTGTATGGCTAGAGTTTGCCAAGGGGATCTGAGGCAAACACTCACAGGTCCAGGAACGCAATACCAGTTAGGCTGCTTTGGGTGTCAGTGGTGAGAGGCTGGGTAAAGCTAGAATGTGAAAACTGAGATGACCAAATTTATTGTCCATAGACATTGTCTAGCAGCAGTCCTTGCCATCTGTTTTATTCTTTCCATCTTGTAAAACTGACTGGATTGCTTGCACAGTAATGTGAATAGACTCAACAGGACTGAATTGCATACAGTTAGACATGGTTGATATGTAACAAAGACTTTTGGCTTGGTCAAACTTTAATCAGGTTTTTCAGTCTTTCGTGTTCTTCTGTGTACTTCCATGTAAAATTTCTATCGAGCGAAGAACCCTGCTAAGACAGTTTAGCAAGAATTGACCTCATAGTCAATAATAGATCATTTTTAATAACTGATTAGATTTCTTATCCTCCACCATCCCCCAGGTATTATATGACCATCCTGCCTGCCTTCAACAAGCATTGTTTAGGTTCTCCAAAATCCTTCATATCCATGATGTTTTCTCATGGTCACTTTTTATCTGCTGACCCCAAAACTGCTCTTCAGCTGTTAATTTCCACTGCCCATGCTGTACTTGAGTTTGATCCCAGCCTCTTCCCCACTGCAAAACATCCATTGCAGTGGACTCTAAACTTACAATAGTGGCCCAAAATAAAGCTTTTATTTCTATGCATTAACAAGTGTCATGAACCAATTTTGTTAAATAGATGATAAAGTTCTGGGGAATTTCCTCCACAATAAAAACGTTCCTGGGATGTTCAGAGCAGTAATAATAGATATAGAAAGGAGAATGGTGATTTCCAGAGGCTAGGTGGAAGAGGAAGGAGGAGAAAGAGATGATTGACATTATTGTGTAATAGTGTTATAGAATGTTCAGTTTTACAAGATGAAAAGAGCCACAAAGATGGATGGTGATAAAGGCTCTAGAACCTTGAAAGATGGTAAATTTTATGTATTGTGTATTTTACCACAGTAAATTTTAATAACACACCAGTATATAGGGATATATAATCTGTGGTCCTTATTGAAGCAATAAATACAGTAACAAAATATCGAGCAATGACTTGAAAATGTTGACTAACAGGTTAAGACTTGAGTCAATTATGGCCCTCATATGCTAATGTAGAGAAATACTAATACCTTAGCAGAACTTGCCCAGAATAAATCATGTGTTCCCAGAAAGCATATGCCTCAGTTTGTGGCTATTGTCCCTTTTGCTGTGGTCCTGCATTTTCACCCCCACCCTATTCTAGGGTACACTTTGATCAGATAGACCCCCCACCCCTCTGATTTTGGTCATGTTTGAAACAGCGTCTATGTTAGGTGTTGAAAGGCCCATGCAAGAAGAGGCATGTGGGAAGGTGCTCCCAGAACAAGTTTCATCCCAACATGTTTCCACCCTTTCCATCTTTCCTTAGAGACCAAATCATGCCTCACTGGAGCATAATTTTGGTTGAATTGGGGCCTTATGTGGCTTAGAAGGAAACCTAACCATTTTTATTCATAACCCAAAATCCTCTTTCGTTTTTAAATTTAGAAGATGTGTGTGAGATTACCACCCCAAAGCTAAGACAATTGCTCCCCCTGTCCTAGGAGACTAAAAACCATTAATAATTGTCAAATTTCTATCATGGTGTGAAGCAATTTTACAGGAACTCCCCACAAGAACTTTTTATGGAATTTTTGCTCAGCTAAAAAGATATTCACAAAGGACCAATCACCCTGATATTCTTAGCACTCTGCTGCCTCCTAGTGGCCAAAATTTTCAGAAGCATAAAAGGATTGCATCTACTCAAGGTTAAAATCATCCATATCATAAGCAGTCTACTTGGTATCTGACAGACTTGCCCCCCCGCCCCGGCCCATTTTTTATCACTTTTCTAAAAGTGTCTAATTTGTGGGAAATCACTCATCCTAAGCAGTTTTCCCTAAGAGAAAGCCCCTTCGGAAACATCACCTGGATTTATGCGTGATGCCTATGTTGCTCCACCTTTTAAGTACTTAGGAAAATGGGCCCGTAAAACTTGAAAGGACCTCAATCTACATTGGCAAAAGTGGGAGTTCTTTGACATTTCTAAATGACATGTTCATATACACAATTGGAAAAAGCTGGTTATAGAACCAAGGAAATTGAACGAGAAAGTTACTTTCATTTATATCCATAAACCACCTAAAATAAAGTAGAATCACTCCCCTTCAGGAGGTAAATAAAAAGTTATCAGAAACTATTTTAGAATTAAATATCAGAGCTCTATTCCAACTACTCCTTCACCACCCTTTATGGCACCCACCTGTTTATGCTTTCCTGTATGATCTTTCACATTCTAACTCTGCTCTTTCACTATCATCTTCACCTCCACTGAAGAAAATTTAGCAGACTCCAGCACCATTCTCTAGCGCCCTCATTGGGCTACCCTTTTAAGTTAAGTCTGTAGCAGAGAAGATCCAGCCTTGGTTCTTCAACCAGTGTATAACCCTTGGATGCAAACTGAACTCTCTAATATTGTAAATTATCTTTCAGACCCAACTGAGGATGCAGTAGGTTTTTCTAAGGAATTTTATTTAAATGTATAAACTGTTGAGCCTAGATATTGTGATCTTTATCACCTGATTCAAGTTAGTATTAAAATAAAGCTGCAGAATGTCTAAAAATAGATCATTGAAACTATGATATAGAGGATTTTAAATAAAAACTCTGGAGAATAAAAACAAGTCTGCCTCTTTGCAAAAGTTCTTGATACACCTATACTACAAATATTTCCCAAGAATGTTGAAGTAAAATCCTACAGTAGAAACAAAGGCCAGATTAATCAATCTTTGATTATTTTGAATGGTTGATAAAAAAAACTTTAAATGGTATTCTTATAGTAGTATGACAAAGGCAATCTATCAAATTCATCAAAATCATACCCTCTTAATTTCTACCTTCCTTAATGAATTAGATGATGGTTCTGTTACTTTAGTTAAAGACATTGGGTTTACTGGGCAATTGTCCAAATTCAAGTCTTTGTTAATCTGGTCTATCAACTTCCTATCTCCAAAACAAAGAGAAGCAGTGTCTCTGTGGTCATGACCTTAACAGCTGCAACTGCTGACTAGCCAAACAAAACCTTTTAAGAAAAGGCAGAAGGCCTCAAATTTAAAAAAATAAAATAAAAATAAAAAAGGGAGTCTGTATTCATTCCAAATTAAAAAAAAAAAAAGTTGAAAAGGTTAACATAGAAAAATCAGATGCAAATATTTGGTCATCAAATCATGTCCCACAATTGACATATGCTTTCTTCTTTTTTAATGGTTATTTTTTTCTTTCTTTCTTTGGGCTGTTTGAAAGGCTTTTTCATTAAGTTGAGAAGTTCTTCTACATGGCCTAAACTGTTGGTCTATATACTCTACAGAATGTTTTATTAGTTTTATGGCATTGAAGGAGAAAGCCTTCATCTCTAGGTTGTTTGATTCTTTTTTTTTTTGGAGAGGTTTTTGCTATAGGGTGCGTGCGCTCGCCAGACAGACAGAGACAGACAGAGAGACAGAAAGCGAGAAATCACTCCCCAAGGCGCATGGCCACGCCGCAATCCCTTCTCCTCCATTCTCCTCTCAGGATCTTGGGCACGCATGCACACGCGCCTGGCGTGAGTTTTAAGCCACCAGGTCCAGGACACGAACCGCAGTCGACTACATGGGAGTCCAGCAACATAGCCATTATGCTAACTGCTGGTCACTGTTTGATTTTTCTTAAAGCTTTCTCTCTATTGGATCTGTCCTATGTCATTTATTGTTTTTCTCAGCTCCTAAAATTCTGTTGCATCTCACTGAGTTTTATTATGATCAGTATCCTGAATTCTGCTTCCAAAAATTATGTGATTTCATATATTCTACCCATCGTTAGAGAGGAGTTAGTGTGTTCCTTTGAAAGAGAGATATTTCCTTGGTTTTGTTCTTTGTATGTTTGTTTTTTCATATTTCTTATGTTCCTACTTTGGGCTTTAGTCATCTAATGGAGTACACATTTATTCCTGATTTGTGGAGTACTTTCTATAGTGGCAGTATTCTTATCATTATTATTATTTTTAATTTTTTTTGAAGAGGTTTTTTGTATAGGGTGTGTGCCCTCACCAGGAAGACAGAGACAGAGAGACAGAAAGTGCAAAATCAGTCACCAGTGGGGGATGGCCATGCCACATCCCTTCTCCTCCATTCTCCTCTTGGGATCTTGGGTACACATGCACATGCACCTGGTGTGAGTTTAAGCCACTGGGTCTGGGACTCAAACCACAGCTGACTACATGGGAGTCCAGCAACATAGCCATTATGCCATCTGCTGATCCCAGCAATCTCAAGTTTTTAGAATCCTTATTTATTTCTAAAATTTATTTTGTAGTGAAGAAATAAATCTTTGCATTAAAATATCAAAATGGTGCCTAAGAGAAACTCCTGGTGGATCTGAAGCACACAGGTTGGTGCCCCAACATGGGTAGATGCTCAGCTACCAGACCCCAGCATGTGCAGGTACAGGGAGAGTTGACCCTTCTTAGATCCAAGGAGGGGCTGTGGGCACCATCCTTGGAAAAGGACCGTGAGTTCTGTAGGTATCTGGGCAAGAGTCCACTGTCAGGCCAGCCCTATGGTGCCAAGCCCAATGGTTACCCCCTCTTCT